CGAATGCAGCCAAGGTGAATGCCTCAGTTGACTCTATCTCAAAGTCACTACAAGGGGAACAAGCTAAATTTGAGAATGTTCGCTCTGAGATTCACGCTGAGAACACTTCACTTCTTAGCTCAGTGAATTCTCATCTTGAAAAACTCCATGCTGATTTAGCAAAGGAGAACACATTAAGGGAGGATCTTGCTCGTCAAACCATTGTTGTTGAAGTCTTGAAGGTTCAACTGGCTCAAGCTGAAAGGGAGATTTCATTGTTAAAAACTGAGCATGCTGTTTTTCGCAGTTGTGCTGGTGATGTTCAGAATATGCTACACAATGTTCTTACTGCTCATGATCCAATTCTGACTCTGACGATTCGGAATCACCTAACCTCCAAGCTCCTTCCTGCACTTGAACTTCTACATGAAATGAAGGGTGTTTCGGAGAGATCCGTACCTCCAAAACAAGGGGGAGAAGGTGCTCAGAAAACTCAACCGAAGGTCAATGTCAAAACAGAACCGAAGGGTAATGAGGCTTCGGGTTCTGAAAAGAAGAAGGGTCTTGTTGATGATAGTGATGAAGAAGAAACTATTGATGATGCCCTGAAACGGAAGAAAAGGGATTAGGAGTTAGATGAAAACCTTCGGGTTGCAAAGGAAGCTGAAGAGAGGGAGCGAAAGAACAAGGAAGAGCAAGATGCCTTAATTTGCAAAAAGGCCTTGTTTCCTCCTTGGACCAGGGAAACGCTCATCAAAGCAGCGATAGAGTTTCCAAGCATGTACTGGCTGGAACCTGTAGCTTCGTTTGATTGTGAGAATACGAGGGACTCACAGTTTGATATGCCTATAACACGAAAGGCATTTATTTTTCACTGCTTTGATTCAACAGTTCAAGTTCCCTCACCTCACCCTCAGGTTGATCGTGAACTTATCGATTTCTATCTCAAGTTCGGTCAGCCTCGGTATCTGACTTGGAGTGCACAGAAGATTACAACAGTCAAGGTGCTGAAACCTTCGCCTGCAGGGAAGTTTGTCAATGTTAATTTCAAGATAACTCGAGGTTCAGACAACTCGGTTTCTGTGATATCCCTGGCAGATCTTCCTAACTTGAATCCTCATGATTGGATCTTATTGTTCAACATTTTGCTCACTAATGCGAAGGAGTATGAGCCGATCCTAGATCATCTGAAGAGGATGTTGGCTTCCTATGTCCATGAAGTTGTTACAATGGATCAGGAGATTGCTAAAGTCTTGAAAAAGAAACCAACTGTGAAGCCAACTGGAAAACCTGGAGATGTAAACAAGATGCAAATGGGTCGAATTGACTCTACACATCTCACAGTGATGTTCACAAAAGGCGAAGCCAACAGATTTCTTTTCGCTCTTGTTGATAAGCATCTGTTCTCAACGGACTGCTTGGAGCACATAATTAGTATTATTCATCGATGCAAGCACAATACTGAGTCAGACAATAAGAACTTCACCGACATGCTTCGGTAGTATATTACTTTTTGTCATACTCGACTGGCCATTATACCAAAGGTGTTCAAGACAGTCAAGAAGTCTTCTATAGCTCAACCGAACTGAGCTCTCGGCTCCATTGACGCAAAGGGGGAGATTGTTGGGTATTTAATGTTGCGTCATGGGCTTTATTTTGTATATCTGGATTGGGCCTGTCCATCCGTGATTATTAATTAGGGTTAAGCTATATATAGTGCATGCATGTATGCCTTAGTTACGTTCGTGATTATTATCATTATTGCTTTGTAACCCTAAACACCTCTACAGTCGAAGTTCTTAATCGAGCTCTTCTGAGGTGTTAAAGTTTAATCATTCGACATCAGTTAAACCATTCATGTGTTCTTCATTACGTTTTTTATTGCTTTTATGCTTAGAATTAATCGATCCTACTAGAACTTTGTTCTAACAGCTCTGATACCACTGATGAGTTTTGAGCACTACAACATTCATATGGTGTACATGCAAACCCTAAAGCTTTAGATCTATTTTGTCTAATGAACATGCAATAATCATCCAAAGCTATAAACCCTTGATCTAGCATGTGATAATCAAATAACAAATGAATTAGGGTTTAGATCTTACCTTAATTGTTATGTAGCAATAACAATCTCAATTCCTTCTTGTAATTGGATTCTGAAAGCTTAATGTCACAAGTGTCACACCTCTAATGGAGTCACAAACACCATAAGCAATAAGGATGAAGAAGGAGGAGAGAGAGGACACCAAAAACGTCTAGAAACCCTAAGGAATCAGTTAGCCACGTTTTTGGTGCCCTAGGGGTCCTTAAATATGTGAGGCTATTAGGGTTATCTAACAAGGAAACCCTAATTTGACTGCTTAGGCCCTAAGCAGCCCATGGACTCCTCCTTTAGAGGCCTTGGACGAATTCTAATGGGTTTCCCCATAGATTTCGTCCACTCCATCCTCTATGGAGTCCATTAGCCCAATATCCAACTATCACACAATTGACAGTTATAGTCCCCTTTATTTAATTAATGTCTTTTAGCCACAAAATTAATTCTGATTAATTCTTGACTATTATTAATTAAATAATATGATTTCTCTCTTAATATATTATTCATATAATATATTAATAAATCATAATTAATCTCTTTCTCCATAAATCATCCTATCAAGTTGTTTTGGTGAAGGCAACCCAAAAGGACCATGCTCGCAATCGGGTCAAGTACATACCAAAATAGTTATGGGCTTAGACACTAATCCAACAGTTTTTGGTGTTATATTCAATGAGTTACAATCCTTCAAAGATGAGATATTAAAGCTGAAATATTTCAACTTTTCAGTAATAAATTTAAACTTTTGTATTCTGTGAAATTTTTTAAACACGCATATGATTGACATGTGGTTTTTTCTAGCGTGTAATTTATAGTTTTTTAGATGATTTTAGACTATAATTTTTTTGTTTTTGGTGTTATATTCGATTTGTTACAATCCTTCAAAGATAAGATATAAAAGCTGAAATATTTCAACTTTTCAGCAAGAAATTTAAACTTTTGTATTTTGTGAAATTCTTTAAACAATCATATATCACTCGCTTTAAGTCGAATTGACATGTTATTTTTTCCAAAGTATAATTTAAACTTTGTAGATGATTTTAGACTATAATTTTGTTGTTTTTGGTGTTATATTTGATGAATTACAATTCTTCAAAGATGATATATCAAAGCTCAAATATTTCAGCTTTTCAGCAAGAAATTTAAACTTTTGTATTATGTGAGTTTCTTTAAACAAACATATCTCATTCGTTTTAAGTCGGATTTACATGCGGTTTTTTCCACATTTAATTTAGAGTTTGTAGATGATTTTAGACTATAATTCTGCTGATTTTTAATGTTATATTCGATGAGTTACAATCATTTTAATATGAGATATCAAAGCTGAAATATTTCAGCTTTTCAGCAAGAAATTTAAACTTTTGTATTTTGTAAAATTGTTTAAACAAGCATATCTCATTTGTTTTAAGACGGATTGACATGCAGTTTTTTTCCAACGCGTAACTTAGAATTCGTAGATGATTTTAAACTATAATTTTGTTGTTTTGGTGTTATATTCAATGATTTACAATCCTTCAAACAAATGGGATAAACTATAAACAATCAAAGTTTGACCGGTCCAAATGACATAAGAAACAAAAACGTGTTCATTTTTACGAGTTGTACCATATCAAACCCAAAAAAGTATTCATTTTAACGAGTTGTAACGTATCAAACCCAACAACATATTCATTTAACGAGTTGTATCAAACCCCAAAAACGCGTTTTAACAAATTGTACCATATGCATGTAAAGTTGTACCGGTCCAAACGAGTCCAAGAACCGGAAAACCCGGACCTGGACCTGGACCCGATAAGTCTCATCCGGTCCGGTCCACGGTCCACAATATTTTCCAAAACTAGTCCGGTCCAAGAGCCGGTCCGGCCCGGTTCAGTCCAGTCCAGTCCAAATGTTCACCCATACCATTGGGTCTTATATTGATGTGGTACTGTAATAGAAATAGAAAATATACTAGTAAATGAGTTTGTTGGCTTTAACAACCGCTTAATAATTTATAGTTGGTTTTTGATCTAGCTTATTGCTATCATTTTAATATATGGTTGTTTCAAAAAAAAAAAAAATTTGAGGGGCAACACGAGCTACTCTGGGCTCCCACTAAAACCCGCCCTTGAATAATACTCGAATGAATAAAAATATTAAATCGGTTTTGTGTTGTCTTCATAATAACAGTACAACATTTGACGTAATTTAATAGTAATCTATTTTCTAATCTTTTTTGTCATGTAAATTATCATCTTATTATTAAAAGAATAAGTAAAAATGTTGATCAGTGGATTAAATCTGATTGAATTACAACTTCGATACGTAAAATACAAGTTATTTTCACGATTGCGCCATAACAAAGACACAATGGACTATATGACCTTGATGGATAGTACTTTTAAGTAGAAACTTAAAATAGTAATTTTCAAACATTTATCATGTATGGATAAAAGCTATGTCTTTTACAGCTTTACTATAAATCATTAATATATCATATAAAATTCATAATATATAAGCTACAGAATATAATCAAGTTTTACTAATTATTAAAAAAAAACAGCAAAAATGTTGAAATGAATTAATGTGGTGTGAAATACAAATTTAACACGTCAACTACATTTCTATAGCACGAGTGCACCATAAAAGAGGTCAAGAAACTATAAGGCCTCGATGGAGAGTACTTTTTATGTAGGGATCGAAAATCACTAGTCTTTTCAAAATTTTATGAATAAGAATTCCATTTTTTGCAATATTAAAAGTTTAAATCATTACATATTATATAAAAGTATAAAATACAAACTTAATTAATACGTAAGATACAAAATCATTATTACATTCGTGAATAATTAATAAATAACCTAAATTATTATAATATATACTTCTCAAATAAAGGAATCAATCAAAATCTTTCATTCTTTATAATGGAGAATTATACTCTTCTACCATGTACAAAAGTTCATTGTAAAGGGACAATATTCTTTAAGCCACAAAAGGGTTTGATACCCAATTGCCTAAAAGAAAAACGAAAGACATATGCGAACACAATGTACAGAGGTTAATGCATATGGTACAACCCTTTAATGGTTTAAAGATTATCTTGGCAAAGGCCTATTTTTACTATCTCTCTCCCTTCTTTTTCTCTCTCTAAAAAGTAAAAAAGAACAAAAAGAAACACTATGAAAAGTCAGCAGGAAGAAACGCATATCATGTCATCATGCAAACGTCACAACCCTGTAAAAGTCAACTACCGCCAGCTGCGGTGGTGCTTGTGGTGGCGACATTGTTTGATAACCATGGGAAAGGTGGAGATGCCGTTGATGTCACCGGAATAACTGGACCGACAAGCTCATCTAATCCTTCAAAGAAGTCGTCCTCCCATCACCATATCAAAGTTGTCATCATCGGTATCATTATCCTCCGCCTTTTCTGTGGTCGGAGACTGGCTGGCGGGGGGAGATACCGGCGGAGATGAAGTTTGTTTGTTGGTTTTAGTGGTACTATCTTCGTCGCCGGAAGTGGTGGGTTTGTTTCTGGTGCTGCCCGCTAAAGAATTGCGGTGTGTCGGAACTGGGTGGCTGTGTTCGCCGGTGTAGGTGACGATGAACATATCCGGGTCGGATCTATTTCGCTCCACTTGTTTTCGGGCCAAACAACCCTTTGAAGTACTACATCTATAATATCCCCTGTTCAATCCAAATTAACAAAATTTAATCTCTTTCATCAACAAATCACTGAATTAAATAATAAAAATTTACCGAATATATACCTTATAACCCTGTTTTCACACTCTAATTAGAATTAAAATTTAAAATAAAATAGTAATTAAATAAGAAAATTACAAACCTTGGATATGGAGAACCTTTGATGGGTTTTTGACCATATTTTCTCCAAGACCATATATCGGAGGATAATCCCTCAGCGGGGACTTGACAGACCCTTTTCATCTGATTCTTCCTATGAAATAAGTTATACATAAAACCCATTAATAATGTTAAAGATTAGTTTTTATTTATCAAATATTTAAAAAAAAAATGAAAAAATTAATTACTGCATGTGGGTATGCCCCCAAAATCTCGTATTTTTTCTGTCATATATCCCGAAAATACGGAACAAAATGTTTGCAATTTTCACAAAAATTGTAATTTTGAAAATTGATTCTCTTGAAGGGTAATTTATACATCACAAAATTAACAAAAACCCAAAATTTACACGAGTTGGATATGTCGGAAAATGTTTTCATTACCTTTTCTTTGACCTTGTACTTTGTGCATTAGAAGTTGTACATCTAGATATACCAAAAGATTGCTGTTTTTCCTGAAGTTGTTTTGGCTGTTGCTGCTGCTGTTGCTGGTGGTGGTGGTGTTGGAGTGGTGGATCTTGTAATCCTCCAAGAACCGAGAGAGGTGAGATTGGCAAACTCTGTGGAGATAGAGGTGGTTTCTGTAGTTTTGGAAAGTGTAGGGGGTTGTTAAGATCATTCAAAAACTGTTCAATACTGTTGTCATTTCTTCTTTGAAATGGATCTGGAAAAAACCCCATGAAATTTTCATCTTGAAAACTTGATTTTTGTTGATTGTAAGCATCCACAGGCCAAGCTGGAGCTCCAGCGGTAGCGGTCGATGTGGTGGCGGTTGAAGCGGCGGAGGAGGAGGAGGCGGCGGTGGAGCAACAGGCTCTGACCACCGCATGCAAGTCCCAATCAACCTCCATTGTTTGACTTTTATGCAGGTTTTTAGAGAGAGAAACCAAGGCGCTGACTTTTTAGAGAGAGATTTAGAGAGAGAAACGATATTGGGGGTTGAAATGGAAAAGGGGTGCAATTTATAAATAATTTTTTAGAGGGAGAGAGAAAAAGAACGGGCAGGAGAGATAGAAGGACGGGTAGGAAGGAGAGAGAATTGGGCAGGAAAGAGAAAAGGGCAGCTGGCTTTCACAAGAATCCTAGAGAGAGAGAGAAAGGGGGTTTTAGAGTGAGAAAATTAAGGGACTCATCGTTTGCTTTATTTTCTTTCTTGTGAAATTACATTTTGGTACATAAAGTTTGAATCAATATGCTATGTCAACACTCAACACAATGTATTTTATAGGGCGTATTCGGCAAAATTAGCTGGTAGCGGGTAGCTTGTAGTGGGTGGCGGGTAGCTTGTAGCTTGTAACGTTTTGTTAAACGCTACATGAAGTAGCATTTGGATTTGGAGCGTTTTGTTCAAACTAAACGCTAAAAGCTTGTAGTGTCAAACAAGGTTTTCTGTTTAAAACGGAGCGTTTTATCAAACGCTAGAAGCTAGAAGCTCTCAAACGATCCCAAAAGCTTCGTGTCGAACACGCTCATAACCAATAGAGTATGGTACCTTTTGGTACATCGTTTCCTTTATTTTCTTTCATACTTTATGGTTTAATTTGGTTCCCACCAAATTCATCGGTTTCGTTTGGAGAGCTTGCATGGATCGTATCTCGGCTAGCCTAGCCCTCGTTCAAAGAGGTGTTAGAATCATCTCATGTGTCTGTCTCTCCTCTGTTCCAACAGCTTGGACTCCAGAGATCACTTACTTGTTTCTTGCCATTTTGCAAGTGAGGTGCTCTCTTTGCTTCACAACTAGTGTGGTATTGTGTCCCAGAGTTTTCTTTCGATGAAACAAGTCATTGATTTTGCTGCCAATTGGGTTCCGTGACCCAAGAAAAGAAAAGTACTCCTTGCTATCGTATATGGTTTCTTTTGGTATGTTTGAAAGGTGCGTAACGATTCTCTTTTTAACAAGATTTGTCCCTCTACCCGCAAAACGACATATCACATTCTCACAAACGGTGTTCAATTGGATTAAATTTATGGGTAATTTTGGATCGTAATTTGGCTGATTGGTGTTGTTGCTTGTTTAACAATTTGTAAACTTTTTGTTGTTTTCCTTTTACCCTGCCTTTCTTCTCTTAGACAGGGTTCTTTTTATGAAATCGTTGTTTCCAAACAAAATATGGATTTTATTTTTTGAAGTTGTTTTATTTTTAATTCGATGAATTTTATGTATCTTCTAATGTTTTTGGTGGAATTCAACTTGAGTACGTTAAGCTTCTAATTCAAGTTTGTTCTACTAAACATTGTTTGAATACATATTAATGAGTAATTTCAAGTTTTTCAATTGAGCCAGAATCATTCTTGAGTCAAGAAGTCTTCAACATTTAACAACCCGTTCTATCAACTTATGCTAACATCATTCAGTCAAACTTTACTTAGTTTTAGATCTTTTACAACCCTATTTGAATTATTATACGTGATATATGTTACGAGATCAACTATCAGTGAAAAATGTTTCTTTCTAGAACTTTTCAACACCATTCTCAATGTATATGCTAAAGCTATGAGTCACAAACACGTAGTAAGTATTTTTCGTTTTAATTATAATAAAACTATCCTGATAGATTACCGAAATATATATGGACTATCTAGATAATTATTACATGACTTTGATCTCTTTTTCATAAGAAAGTATTGAAAATAAGTTGATTAATGCTCTTCGGTGGCATTAGATGTCACCTATCATCTGTTAGTGATTTTGGTGTTATCAGCATATTTTTGTGTAATTATTATTAATAATGAGATAGGTCGAACTTCATTTACTAACCGAGTTAGGAGGTGCGGGGGTGTACACTTGGTGTTATAATTATGAACTCGGGAATACGGGGTCTGGGGGCAGCACCCCTAGTGGGGTCCAATAACTACCGGTTTTGGCGCCAAATCTGGAAGCAACCATCATAATCTCTTTTCCCTCTAGTATAAGAATCTTTCTCTGGTTCCAGAAAAAGGTTGGAACTCATATACACGAAAAGTATATTTTGTTCTCTGTATCTCTATAGAACACAAAACAACAATGTATATTTTTGTGTTTTGATTTTGGAAGTAGCATGATTTTTAAAATTGTATTTTTTGGATTATCCAAAATCGGATTTCGTGATACCCCAATGTTGGTGATTGCAATCACGATCATAGAAATTATCCAAGTTAATTGATATTCTAAAATGTTATATTGTACAACTCTATAATGCATAAATTGTTGTGTATGACAAAAAACTGTTGTGTACGAATCACTTCCCCTTATTTAAGGTGTTGCGTGAGGAAATAAATTTTAATAATACACCATATAAAAGTGTATTGTGTATCATTGATCTTATTTCATATGGAAATCAAAGTATCTTATTTTTTACTTAAATCAAAGTATTTTGATTGTTTATTCAAATCGTATGTCGGTCTATTGTTAGGGATTATTTATGTCACGTAGAAGTTGAATATCAATTTACCATATTTCATTACGTATATATAGCACTTACATTGAGATATTAGATGCAAAAGATGCAACTTTTATTAAAAAGTTCAATTTGAGAGTCATTTGGAATAAGAATCACAAAGCAAAACAATTATTCAATTTGCAATTTATTTATCGTTTTCCAAAATATACACTTTTTTTAATTGTGCTGATAAATTGCATCAGTTTAATATGGTTCCAATCTTTATTTTTACTTGTTAATTTTGGTGCATATGTATCGTTTACTTCGTTATTATGAAAAAAAAAAACATTTCAAACATTAAATCAAAATGCAACTATACATGTGCATTATTGTATTTTTTTTTATATGAAAGAGACAAAAATAAGAAAAACGAAACAAATATTGAAATGAGAAGAGATGGCAAAGAGTTTAAAAAGTTTGTGGCGAATGTGTGAAACTAGAACCTCATAGGCTACAATGTAAGAAATGGAAAACCATGGAGCAAATATGGGAAATTTCTCTAGTTGTGCTTTTTTGCATTGACTTGTGAAAATGTCAAAGAGCCGCTGGGTTCAACACTTCTCTTTCTAAAATCAAAGTAAAGAAAAAGTCAACACGTTCTCTTCGACTTTATTTTACAAAATATATCAGTTATTACAAAGTTTTTGGCTCACATACCCCCCTCCGTCCGTTAAAAATATGTGGTCAGTATTTTTTTTTTTTATAACGTATTTTGCATAAAATTGTAAACAAAATTCAAATGAGATAAAAAGGTTTTGTATAGTAAATCACAAATTTGGTTCTATCAGTTATAAAAAGTTTTAGGATAAAAAGATTTCATAAACATTTATTGATTTAAATAAGTAGTTTTCGATAAGTTATTTGTTTTTACTTATTAATTTATTTAAAAAGTTTTTGGTAAGTTATTTCTTAAGTACACACAACAACATCATTTGTCAAACACTAAAAAGTAAATTAATAACTTATTATTGTTACTCGATAAGCTAAATCAATCATTTTTTTTAAAACTCCATTTTGATATCGGGTAAATTAATAAACATTTTTACTAAAAAAAAACATAACTTCCCCTTAATCCAACTTTTTTGTTTTACCTAAAGTTGACGGTATGATGCCATTTTGTTTCATATAGGATTTTTTTTTACTCACTAATTGTTAAGATTTTCAAAACTAAATTTCCTCTATAGTTATTATTTAATCGTAAATAAGTATCTTTAGCACCTTTGAGACACCCATTTTTCGGAATTGATCAGATGAAGACTTAAGGATTTCAAAAATAAAGTTTTTAAGAAAAACATGTTGCCACAACGTGGCTACGTCAATTAAATGAAGAACGTGTCTGACTGATTGCCACGACCTGACGAGATGGTGCCCGCGGTGTGGTCGCGGTTGCAGCTCAATCCCATGATTTTAGGGTTTTTTCCACATCTAAAGGCTTTAAATCATGATGTAGGTTATTCTATTCACCCTCCATCTTTTAAACTCGAAACCCAACCCTTTTCTTTGATCGTTGACTGTTGACTTTTGACCAGTTTGACCTTGAGTCAAATTTGAAGGATTTGTGTTGTTGATTAAGGATTGATCTTTATTGGGTGATAGTCGGTTCGCAGGATTGATTAATGAAAGGAGTAAGAGTATTGTTGTGCTTCTCTGATTTTACGATTCATGTGAGTCTTTATAACATCCCAAAAATCACGATAAAATTTTCTATTTTTCAATTAAGGTAAAATCATTGTTTCCAATCAAAACCCGAGTCAAAACTAAATGTCAAATACAAATATACCAGAATCAGAGTATCATAAAATCCCCCCAAACATGTCACTGAAGGATGTATACGATCACGCATTCGTCTTGCCCCGATCATCAGAAATAGTTGAAACATAACATTAAACCGTAAGTCAAAGCTTAGTGAGTTCCCCAAAATACCACCACACGAACATATAACAACATGCATACTAGGCCCACAACCATCGGGTTGGATTACCCCTAAGCCCACAACATGAGTCTAGCTTGCCTTTCTGGCCCACAACTCATGTCTGGATTGATCTCGGGCCCACAACGTAAATCTGACTTACCTATTCGACCCACAACTTATGTCTGGCTTGCTCCCAGGTTTGTTGGCTTCCGCACAAAGCAGTTGATGTGTGCAAAAATATACCCATCTAGTTTTAAATGCATATCCTAACTACTTATCAACTATTACACCTATAGGCAGTGTACCTAGTCGAATTATAGTATAGTAAAGTAAGTTGGTTTTGAACTCAGGAAATAAATTTAATTAACTAAGATATTTACTAAAAATTAACCTAAAACAAGCAAAAGTTAAAATGGGTTTTATCTGATTTTTCAAGTCCAGCCAAACTTAAACAATTAGCTAATGGTTTTAATCAATATACTAAAAACACTTTTGTTTAATTCGAATCCACATTTTCTGTGACAACCCGAAATTTCTATCTTGTACATCCATACAATTCAATCAAAGTCAGACTAGTTTCTGCTATATTTTAGCCATGTT